AATTCATGCATCAAACTTTTGGCCAGTGTACTATACTCCAGAAAATAATATGGTAGTTGACATAATACTGTTTGTGAGATCAATATTCTGTTTCAAAGACTGAAGTCAAACACTGCCTATTCTCAAAGCACAGAATTGAAGTAGAAAGGTGTTCAGTAGTAGACAATTTTGCCGTTGTAGTGTTTCAGTAATAACATACAGGCTGACTACTCCCCTTGAAAGCTGGATATTGCACACACACACACAAAATCAAGTTAATCAGCGCCAATACATATTGAATTCTAGCATGAGATTCTACATTAGAGGTGGAAATAATGCAGCCTCCAGTGCCATCTGTGTGACACTCCTAAAAATTACACAAAATAATTTTGGTGCCAATTGCGGATCCCCCTTAAAGTAATCAGTGTTTGTTTTAAATGCTCTGTGGTGTTTTGTTGTCAAAATTTGATAATAAACAGGGCACCCCCATGTAAAACAAATTGACAGAAATAATTGCTGTATGTTAGTTTTTCTACATGGATGTGGTGGAATTTCAGCAGCTAAGAGGAGGGGACAATTCCATGGTTGATGGAAATCAAACTTGCCAAATTTATTTATCTATTTATTTAAAATATTTTTACCCTGCCTTTCTCCTTAAAAGGTCCCAAGGAAATTAACATAATTAGAAACAGTATTTAAAAGCTAAAATCAGAAGTATACAAAATTTTTGACAAATTAAACAAGTACAGTGGACCCTTGACTTACGGAATTAATCCGTATTGGAATGGTGGCTGCAGGTCAAAAAGTCTGTAGGTCAAGTCTCCATTGACCTACAGTTCATTGAAAACCGATTAATCCCATAACAGGCCGTTTTTGTTCCATTTTGGTTTTTTTCTGGTCTGTAAGTCAATTCTCAGGCTGCAAGTCATTTTTGACAAATTAAACAAGTATTATATTAAAATGGTAAAAAAAATCAATATTAAGACACATTTAAAACAACAGAACAACAACAAGCCATTTAAAACTCCTCTCATAGACCACCAATTATTAAGGAAACGTCTGCCTAAAGAGAAAGGTCTTTGCTGCTTGTGGAAGGACAGCAAAGATGGGGCCAACCAAGCTTCCCATGGGAGGGAGTTCTGGAGTCTGGGAGTGGGGACAGAGAAGGCCATCTCCCCTGTCCTCACCAAGCGCTGTGAGTGTGGTGGGGAAAACTGTGTACCCCCAGTTCTGCATGGAATAGGATGTGTAAACTTGTATGCTCTGCAACATAAAGGATTTTGTACAGGAATGGGTTACTGTACATGATTATACCATGCCCATATGACCTACCTTCTGTACAAATGTGTTGGGTGTTTTTGTAGCTGGAGTCCTTCACACAGATGGAAAGTTCTTCTGATGACTTAAAAACCTGAGGCTTCTTTCCAGTGTCCCAGTGTGTATAGATTGGAATCAATTGTAGAAAAAATGTAGCAGAGATTGTTTTTGTTAAAAAGGTCCCTGATAAGGAGTTTGGTTTTTCTCTGGTATTCTATTGCTTATTTATGGTACTCCACCCAACTCTTATCATTTGAGTAATATTCTATGTAGGACAAAAAAGTCCCTGAGAGAGAGCCATTGTTCATTCTCAGAGACTTTAACACTAGAGTTGGTGCTGATCACAATTCTTGGCCCACTTGTCTAGGCCGTTTTGGCATTGGGAAGATGAAGTAAAATGGCCAACACTTACTGGATTTTTGCTGTTATTATGGTATTTGTGTCAGCAAAACATTCTTTATTATGAAATTTCAACACAGAGTTTCCTGGAGACATTCAAGATCGAAGCATTGACATCAGCTCGATTTGATCCTCACTAGACATTCTAGCCTTCCTAGTATTATGATCACAAGCAGTTACCAGAGTGTTGATTGCAATACCGACCACTCCCTGGTGTGTAATAGAGTAAAATACGAACAAAGATATTGTATCACATGAAAAAGGAAGGAACACATACTGACATCAGCAAGACTCATGATCAAAGAAAAGTGGAGGATTTTGCCCAAGCGCTTGAGGAAACTTTTCAGGCCTGGCTGATGCAAATGCACCTGAATGATGGGAACATTTCAAGAACACTGTTTATAACATCGCCTTGTCCACATTTGGCAAGAAGACCAAAAAGATGGCAGACTGGTTCGAAGCCCATTCGGAGGAGTTGATGCCAGCCATCAAGGATAAGAGGAGAGCTCTAGCAGCATACAAAGCCTATCCTAGTGAGTGCAACTTGCAGGCTCTTTGAGTTGCTTGTAGCAAAGCCCAACAGGCTGCCGGGAGATGTTCCAACGATTATTGGCTTCAGCTGCTCTCAGATACAGATAGCAGCGGACACAGGTAACATCAAGGGAATGTATGATGGTATCAAGCAGGCTTTAGGTCCAATACAGAAGAAATCTGCTCCCTTGAAGTCTGCTACAGGCGTGATCATCCAGGACTGAGCACAGCAGATGGAATGCTGGGTGTAGCACTACTCTGAGCTATATTCCAGAGAGAATGTAGTAACCGAAGAAGCACTAAATAACATTGAGTGCCTGTCTATTTTGGAAGAGTTGGACAGTGAACCAACTTTTAAGTGATCTTGGATTCCCTCGCCCACGGCAAGGCACCTGGAAAGGATAACATCCCTGTTGAAGTGCTGAAGTGCTGTAAAGAGATCACCACCACCAAACTGGATGAAGTTGTTCGTCTTTGCTGGAGGGAAGGTGGAGTACCACAGGACATGAAGGATGCAAACATTGTCGCAAGAAGAAAGGAGATGGACGATTGCAATAACTACCGTGGCATCTCTCTTCTCAGCATTGTAGGGAAGCTGCTTGCCTGTGTTGTACTGAAGAGACTCCAGGTGCTTGCAGACAGAGTCTATCCAGAATCACAATGTGGATTTTGAGCTAATAGATCC